ATCATCATCATCATCATCATCATCATCATCATCATCATTACAAGAATCATGTGCTGTCAAGTTAATTCTGGCTAATGGCGGCCCTTCTCAGGGTTTCCCAGCAATGGTTTTACTCCAGCTAGCCACGCAATATATTCCAGGGTCCTCAGCCAGACATTGCCACTGAAAAGCCGCAGTCCTTGCTTTCAAAGCTGAACCCCCACAAGTTTCTAGTCCTCTTCTCCGCCCAGCCAATCCATCAAAGCGACGCGCCCCGCCCCTCCAGCCCGGGGTTCTTGCGCGGCCAATCAGCCGTCTCGCCCGGGCAAGCGAACGCCTCTCCCGTTTCCATGGTAACGAGACAGAGAAGGGGTGGAGCATAACCGTGCCTTCCGTAAGAGGCGCCTGTTGGACATAGACTTAATAAGTAGAAGGGCGAGATATCTTTAACTTCCGGGATGTCAAACGGTAACAGATTCAGAGCGGCGAGGATTCGCGGGGGCCCGTGTGCGCGTGCGCGCGTCCCTCCCTGCTTCTTTTCTGCAAAAATCAAGTGAGATTCAACGTTTTGCAAAAGTTTCGCTTGCAAACCCTTGACAAGCCAGGCTTCCGCCCGGAGTCAAAGACCAGCTTTTGGGTGGCAAGTGCTTGGGATCAGAGCTTGGGAAAAATGGCCCTTGTTAGTGGCATATTTATACCCAGGGGTCACTGGACTACAGGGAACAACAACAGCCACTCTTAGTGGCCTTCATAGACCTTACAAAAGCATTTGACTCGGTTAGCAGGGATGGCCTTTTAAAAATACTTCCCAAGATTGGATGTCCACCTCGACTCCTTAACATCATCAGGTCCTTTCATGGGGGAATGAAAGGCACTGTAGTTTTTGATGGCTCAACATCAGATCCCTTTGACATCCGAAGCGGAGTGAAACAGGGCTGTGTCCTCGCACCAACCCTTTTTGGGATCTTTTTTGCTGTCATGCTGAGGCATGCCTTTGGAACTGCAACAGAAGGTGTCTATCTCCGGACTAGATCAGATGGAAAGCTCTTTAATCTCTCTAGATTGAGAGCAAAGACCAAAGTCCAGCTGAAATGCATGCGGGACTTCCTCTTTGCTGATGATGCAACTGTTGTTGCCTGTTCTGCTGAAGGGCAACAACAGTTGAAGAGCTCCAACAATTTATGAATCGTTTCAGCAAGGCCTGCCAAGACTTTGGATTAACGATCAGCCTGAAGAAAACACAAGTCATGGGCCAGGGCGTGGACTCACCTCCCTCTATTACCATCTCCACATAAGAATTGGAGGTTGTTCATGACTTTGTGTACCTTGGCTCAACCATCTCTGAC